CGTGGCAGGTGGGTGCTGGGCAGAGGCTGCCGCCTGGCTGAGGGGGCACAGGCACGCTGGCGGCCCATGGTGTCCATTCCGATGGGGACCGCGCTAAACCGTGGGGCTGCTGACCTGGGATCTGGGAGGGGCAGCTCAGGGATGGTCTGTCTGAGCAACGACAGGACACACAACCCAGTGGGCACCAGGGATAAGAGGTCGATATCTTTGGAGGGAGATCGGGTGAGGAAAGGACTTGGGAATTAGGAAATACAGAATAGGAAATCAAGAAATGTGTTCAGAAGCTGTTTATGGAAATAAGGAAAGTCTTACTTCAGAGGTGTGGGACATGAACAAGAAATAAGCATCATGATGACAAAGACAATTTTTTTTTTTTTTGAGTTGGAGTCTTGCTCTATTGCCTAGGCAGAGTGCAATGGTGCAATCTCATCTCACTGCAACTTCTGCCTCCTGGGTTCAAGCTATTCTCCTGCCTCAGTCTCTCCAGTAGCTGGGATTACAGGTGTCTGCCACCATGCCCAGCTAATTTTTGTATTTTTAGTAGATACAGGCTTTCACCTTGTTGGCCAGGCTAGCCTTGAACTCCTGACCTCATGTGATCCACCCACCTTGGCCTCCCAAAGTGCTGGGATTACAGGCGTGAGCCACCATGTCTGGCCAAAGGATAATGATTAAACTTCATATTTCTACAAAACATTCTGCCACCAACACAGACACATAAAGAGTGAGCTACAGTGGACCAAATGAATCGGGTCCTGTGGTTCTCAGGTTCTTCCACTCTCCCAGGGTTCCAGTGCTGTGGCTGAGGCTCCCTGCATAGGGACCCTCTGCCTGCCTTGCCAGCAAGTGGAGGGCACCCACAGCTGGACCAGGGCCCAAGTCTTCTGCTTAAAAGAAAACAGGACGAAAGCCAGAGGTGGGAGGGTCTCTCCCACGCATCATCTCCAGGCTCCTCCTTTGCTCCTGCCTGGGAGGAGGCCGGCTTCCCCTTCCCAATGGGGAAGCCCCTGCGGTTCCAGCCCACTCACTCTGCTCCTTCTCTCCTACTCTCCCCCAGCCCCACCTGCCATCTCTCTGCCCCAGTCCTGCCCCAATTTCCAAGCTGTTAATCCAATGCCTTTAAAGATGTCCACAGCACAATCCTCCCTGCAAAGGTTACCAATCAGACAGAGCAGAGAGGCTGTGTCACCCAGCGAGGCCCTGGAAAACCCCCTCCCCAGCCCTGGTGTGACCTGCTCCTGAGATCAGCCCTGCTGGGCGGTCCCCTCCACAGCCGTGGTCAACGGGCAGGTACCTTCCTTCTCAGTGGGTCAAGACATGAGGATCTCACCAATAGGAAACATGAAAATCTGGTCAAGCTTCTTCTTGTTTCAGTCCTATTTCATGCCTGTTTCTAGTTCTAGTTACTAGGAGAATTCCTCAACACTGTCCCAATATTTGTTTCTTTGTTTTAGCGCTCTTGTTTCCAATCTGGAGGAATGCTTTCACTTTCCCAATTATCCCTTCTTTCATCTGGTTTGGTTTTTGGCTACTGTATCATCTCTTCAGTCTCCCACGGTAAGAGATTCACTGGCTCACCAATGAAAAGCCCTGGGAGGCCAGGTGCGGTGGCTCACACGGGCGGATCACTTGAGGTCAGGTGTTGAAGACCAGCCTGGCCAACCTGGCGAAACCCTGTCTCTACTAAAAATAGCTGGCTGTGGTGGTACACCCTTGTAATTTCAGCTACTCAGAGGGCTGAGGCAGGAGAATCGCTGAACCCAGGAGGCAGAGGTTGCAGTGAGCCAAGACTGCGTCACGGCACTCCAGCCTGGGCCACAGAGTAAGACTCTTTCTCAAAAAAAATAAAAAATAAAAATGTCCTGGGAGTTGCAGCCCCTGTCACTGCCTGATTCAATTCCCATCTCCTGAAGGGCTGGCCTGGCCCCACACCGGTCTCCCCTATAAAATGTGGTCAGTTGATCTCCAGAAGTGCTAGTCCACCCTGTGATTCCACCCCTCACCCTCCAGGAGCTGGGCTCCCTATGACATGGTAAGATTCCTCTTGATCGGAAGTCAGCTACAGTCAGCTCTCACCTAATCTGCATGTAGAACTAATCTGCATTGTAACCAGGACTGTTCCAGGCGCACACTTCAGACCGTCCCCTCCCCGGGGCATCCCTGTCCGAGCCCTCCTGTGAGGCCGGGTGTCAGATAATAAGACTTTTCCCCTTGAAACTCCACAGCCATCTGCTTCATGTTTTCACAGCACTTACCACGCTGTGGTGGAAACACTGCTCCCAAAATCGACATATTTACACTCAACCAGATTCAACCTCCCTTCAATTGACACATTTGTACGTATCCTGCAATATCAAACACAATCTCCTACACTTCAGAGGCTAATGACTGTGAGCTGAATTTTTTCTCTTGTTCTTGTTTTGACTTATTATTGGAGAAACTAGAACTGAGAGAGGATTTCTTCAGTGGTCCAGCACACAGGACTACTGTGATGTTCTCTTGAGAAAGCCTGGACTTCTCTGCAATGGAGTTTTAGTTAACTTGGAGAAAACTTCTGTTTCCAGCATGCTCAATTCTACCACGTTTAGGTGACTTTCTATGTAGTTGTTTGCATATTTTGAAAATTTATGACCTTCAAGGGCTACCAGGTGTCTTCACAACAGAAAACTTGAGTTAATACTAGGATGAGAGATCAGCCCTTGACACCTTCCAGAAAGATGGGACAGAAGGACATGGGCGTCAAGCCAAGGTTAGGTCTTACATGTAAGAGGCAGAACCGCCTGACTCTGAGAAATTGAGGTATAAAATAGAAGGTATTATACAATATGAATACCTTCTACTCTATGCAGTTAAAAATAAGAAATGTGGTCATATCAGTATTTTTTTTTTTGAGACAGGGTCTCACTTTGTCACCCAGGATGGAGTGTAGTGGCGTGACATTGGCTCACTGCAACCTCCTCCTCCGGGGCTCATGCAGTCCTCCCGCCTCAGCCTCCCGAGAGTTAGGACTACAGGCACACACCACCACTGCCAGCTAATGTTTTTATTTTTAGCAGAGATGGGGTTTCAACATGTTGGCCAGGCTGTTCTCAAACTCTGGCCTCAAGTGATCTGCCTGCCTTGGCTTCCCAAAGTGCTGGGATTATAGGCATGTATTTACCAACACGAGTAGGTATTCATGCATTCAGTTTTTACCCTTGAAAAGGGGGAGGAAGATATTTTTGGATTATTCTAAAATTAAATTTAAATTATATGATGCCTAGGACTTGCCACAAAATAACCTGGAGCTGTGTGGGTAGGTGGAAGGGGAGAGGGAGTGGATACATAAATAAAACAAGACTGGCCTGGACTGGAAATTTTGGGAATTATCTATCTAAGACAGATCTGTGGGGGGTTATTACATTCTTTGTTTCCATATATGCTTGCATTTTTTATGACAAAGCTCATCTTTTTTAAAGCAGGGATTAAACCTCTCAAGCAAATGAGTGTGATTGTCACTTTAAAAATGCTTCTGGTATTAAAATCACTCCCATAGCAGCATAAAATAAGTCATTTTTAAAGCTGGTGTGGGATGAAGCTGTGATCCTGGGAAATGTAAAGCTGGTTTGCGTATGGATACACACGTGTGCTATGTTCATACCAGCGGCCTGGCTCGGGAACACACGCCAGCCAGTGAGCCGTGCCACGAGGGCCGCCTCACCTCTCCTTACCTCCGGCCACTTTCCAGCCCCTGTTCTCACTCCAGCGGGGCCTGAATCCTCACTGCTTCTCCGTGCCTATCCTGGCTCAGAACATCCCTTATCCGCTGGACTAAGTCTCCACCAAATCCTGGGAAAGCTGGGTGCCACACGCCGCCCTGTAAGCCCACTGATTGCAGAAGGCCGCCTTCTACAACGACGTAGCTCAAAACCTTCTCTTCTCTACATAAAGTTGTATTTTACTTACATGCAAAATAAACACAAACAGCTTTCTGCCTTCAATCCTTCTCTCCTTTATTTCACAGAAGACACTTTGGTTCTCTTCCATAAGGCTTTCACTCTGCATGCCTTTCCCGACAGATGAGAACGTGTACGTCTACTCACAGTTCCCAGTGTTTGCTGTTCTGCGTCACCCTCGGAGGTGGAAATTACAGTGACTCACAGCCAGGGAAGCAGCAAGGTGGGGTGAGAGAGAGAATGAGAGGGAGGCTGAGCTTCAAAGAGGCCAGGTGACCTTTGTCCAAGCATCGCTGGCAAGGGACACAGAAAGGGGGCTCCAAACGTGGCCTCTCAAGCCTCAAGCTCCAGTGTTTCTGCTGTGCCTTGAACCCCCTGTGCTTCATGAGACTGTGCTCTCAAGTGCAGAGCAGGCATCTGTTGACCACACATGAATTTCTAAAATTTGGCAAAAGGATTTGAACACTCCAGAAATGGTGTGTATTTAGATATCCATTCCACCAATAAATTCGAGTATGACTTTTTTAATTTATCATGGTCATTAGTAGATAAAACCTTACTTGTTTACAATTACTATGAATTCTATAGGATTTAGTTTACATTACAATACCTGGTTGTCCAACTACCAGCACTAATAGATAACTAAGTAGTAAGTTTGGAGAAAAAAACTGTGAACAGAAAGTCTATTAAGAAGGAGATGTTGCTTTTTAAGTCACAACAAAAAATAATAAATGTCACCAGGGGTGGTGGCTCATGCCTGTAATCCCAGCACTTTGGGAGACTGAGGTGGGGAGATGACCTGAGGTCAGGAGTTCAAGACTAGCCTGGCCAACATGGCCAAACCCCATCTCTATTTAAAAAAAAAAATACAAAATGTAGCCAGGCGTGGTGGTGGTGGGCACCTGTAATCCCAGGTATTCAGGAGGCTAAGGCAGAAGAGTCACTTGAACCTGGGAGGTGGAGGTTGCAGTGAGCTGAGATCACACCACTGCACTCCAGCCTGGGCAACAGAATAAGACTCCATCTCAATAAAAATAATAATAAAATAATAAGCAATATTGTCACTTATTTTTGCCAGTGCAAATCTAGAAAACACGCGATGAGGGACAGTGCGTAGGACCTAGCCAAAAAGAGCTTGAACATGAAAGGAGACCTGCTAAGGCCAGAGGCACAGTTCAAACTTCCACAGGATGCAGAATCGGAAATGCTTCGGCCTCGCTGCCCCCTCCTCCCATCGTCAGCTCTGGAAAGGGCGGCGAGGGCCCTGTTTGGCATCTCGGGTGAGGATTGCTCTTCTTTAACAGAGGATGCTTGCCTCTCCCTATCTTCTCACCCCTTCTGCTCTGAGTCAGGCTTTGCTCCCCAGTGAAACACAAAAAGCAGGACAGCAGGGAAAAGTGGAGCGAGTGGGAAGGGTGGAGAGGCAGCACCAGAGCACGGATCCACCGGACGTGTCAGCCCGTCGGCACTTGGAAAACACAAGGAGGGGTGTGCCAAACTCGGCAGCTTACAACACGGTATCTCAGAGACCTTCTAAGAAATAGATGCCACACCCCAAGACAAAAAGAATCCGCACCTTGCACAATGGACTTGTACCATTTCCTGATACAAATGACGCTCATTTCCCAAGCAAAATACGAGGCATCTCCAGTGCCTAGGATGCGAAATTATAAACCGACTCATTGTTCCACTGGAAACATGCCCTGCTCCCAGATTCCCTCATCTGCATCCTCCACACAGCATCTCCTACCTCTAATTCATCTGTGACTCCTGCAGCCACTGCTGACCAGTGCTGACCAGTGCCAAGTGGTGCTGGCCAGTGCTGACCAGCGCTGAGCGGTGGCCCCAGGGAGGCTGAGCTCTCCTCCTGCAAGTTGCACCTGGATTCTGTGCTCCAAAGGGAAAACTGTTCCTGGTGATTCCCAAGTCCCAGTTCTTCCTGCATCTTGTGATTCCAGCTCACAGGTCCAGGCCTCTTCCTGGATGCCCCACTAGGTCTTGCTCCTGGTGGCCTCTCTCCCAGAGATGAATAGCCTGTCTTGACCCTTGTGGCCCAGGGCTGGGGCTGACACCCACAGCAGGCACCCAGGATGCTAATGCCACCAACTTTCCCCATCCTCTGCCAGGAACGCCTTGCCCTCCAGTGGTTCCTGCCAGGATCCCTTGCTCATCTCCTTCTGTGAGTCTCATCACCAACCACCAGTGTGCCATTCTCCCCGGGATGATGGACAGCTTAGGTTTAGGTCTTCTGATGTGCAGCAAGAATATACAAAGAAAACTGGTCTAACCAATAAATTGTTTAATAGTAAAATCTGGTTCATTTGTAGAGTTCTAAGGGTTTTCAGATGCTGCTGTTACGTTTAAGCTACAGGCAATTTACCCAAGGAATGTGATGTTGAAATGTTTCAGAATACACTTCCGCTTGAAAATTACAGGCAATAAAATGTACCAGCTTTCTCCTTTTTTCTTCATTAATGAAGTGAGGAACATAAAAGTTCAATTAAAAATGAAGACTCATGTATCACTTGGTTCTTTTTAGTCCTTTTAATTTAATAAAACATTGGTGTTGAGGTGTCGGGAAACGGAAAGCGATTGCCCTGTTTCTGGCTCAGCATTCGCATTTGGCTAACTCACAAATCCAGAGCTGTGGGGAGGGTCTTTTCCCTGCCTCAGTCAGCACCTAGAATACCCGCAGGCGGGGTCAGGTGCCAGAGGCTCCGGGAAGAACAGAGAGGGTGAGACAGCCCTGGGGAAAGGGAGGGGCACGGAGGAAGCTCTGAGGGCAGGGCCAAGACATCAGGTTTACTGCTGAGCTCAGTCTAGAACAGAGTGAGGGAGGAGGGACTCCATAATTGGCTGTCGAATAAGTGGAATCCCAAGAAGAAAACTGGGTGGGAGCGTGAAGATAAATATTAGCAACAACGAGGCAAAGCAAGCAAAGATCCTTTCATAGCCGGGACAAGCTCATTCACCAGAAACCATGAAATGGAACCTGCCCCCACACCCCGCGAGACCATGGCCTCGTGCCTGTCCTGAGTGCCCTTTGAGCACTACCTATCTCAGTCAAGAGGCAAGCCTTGCCTTTGACCACATCCTAGTCTTTTTTCCCTTCTCTGTTTCTTCTGGAAGGCCATGTGGTCCTGTAGGTCCTAGCTTTTATAACCACATTCCTTAGATCCAAACCACGCTAAGTTTAAAGAATGAAGACATGAATGAAGAAATGCAACAAGAAGCAGTGGGAAGGTGTACCAGCTGGCGGGCATCAGGTGGGTCTCACCACTCGCCCTTGGTGAAGCCCAGCCCGAGGCCACGGCCGGCAGCTGCACTTCTTGGGAGAAGATCTGAGCCCTGCTGGGGTCACCACATGCAACATGGCACCTCCCAAGGGCAGGGCAAGACCTTCAGATGGAAACACATGCATTTCCACACCAGCTAATACCTATGGGGCCTCTGTGTTGTAGAGTATTGCATATTGCAGATGTCCAAAAGTACACAAAGTTTCAACTTTATAAATCACATGCAGTGATGCTCTCCTGATTCAGAGAAAATATTGCAAGAGCCAGCAATGTAACATTGCATTCCCAAAGCAAGCAGCGAGAAAGCAGGAAGCAAAGTTTTGCACCTCATAATCATTGTAATCTACAGAACACATTCCCTCCACTCTAGAGACCTGAAAATACATTTTAAAATTATCTCATTGGTTTAAATTATTACTTTTAAATTACTTTATTAGTTACTTCTGTGGCCATCCAAATAAGTCAGATTTCACTTGGAATAAATCAGTGGTTCACCTAAGGGCAATCTCTGACTTAAATATTTCCCTCTATTAATCAATAACTTCCTTTTCCCAATGTGCTTTCCCATCAGGGAAATCGATGTCTCTGGATAACTATGTAGACACAAACGTGTCAGAGCACATCGGGCTGAGAACACAGAAGGAAATGCATTTGGAGCCTTTCGTGTCCAGGGCCTCACTCCGCCACTGTGATGCCGGTGGCTGATTCTCCTCCGACCACGTGAGTCAGCGTGCACCTGGCGGGTGAGGCTGGGCAGCCTAGAGAGACAGGAGGAGCAGCCAGTGAGAGGTCCTTGGGGTGTTGTGCAGCTGTGGTCCCTAAGGTCCCGACCCCCAGACAGGCCCACAGCAGCCACGGCACTTCCCTTTCCCTCTGCAGGACCCAGAGCTCACCAGGCAGCAGCACGGGGCTACCCTGCAAAGCTCATCTTGGACTCTACCCAGCCACGCTCCTGTAGGAACCCAAGAGAACTGGAGGCATCTATAAGGTGTTATCATCTAGACGTAGCTGGGGACAGAGAACAGGTAACAGGGCCCAAGGTCCCCAGTGAGGTAGGAGGCGGGACTTGACTCTGGAGGTAGGGTTTAGACACCGGACTAAATCGAGAACCAGCTAACACGGGGACAGGGGTCCGGGACATAGTCCATCGATGTGCCATGTCTGTTTACTATTGCTATGGAAACATCCAAGCATTACTTCCCCTTTCCATAGCAACAACCCCACGACCCAAAGTTACTGCCTTTTTCCTAGAAATTTCTGCATAAGCTGCCCCTTAGTCTGCATGTAATTAAAAGTGGGTATAAATGTGACTGCAGGCCTGCACTGAGCTGCTACTCTCTGCCTGGGGGGTGGCTCTGCTCTGCAGGAGCAGTCACAGAGCTGTAAAGCTGCTGCTTCAACACAGCTGTTTTCTTCCACCCTACCACCTGCTGGCTCTTGAATTCTCTCCTGGGTAAAGCCAAGGCCCTTCGAAGGCTAAGGCCTAATTTGAGGCTCGCCTGTCCTGCACCACCAGGAAAACCAGGGACCAATGGCAGGGTCTCTCTGGGTGCAGCCATCCTCAAGCCTTCACCCTACTCTCTGCTCTCCTGCTCCGCCCCAGAGGCTCCAGGAATCCAGGCAGACTCCCTTGGATGCATCCACAGTCAGCTCCGTCCCCGGAAGCCTGGCCTCCAGCCCACATCGGCTTTACCCCCAAACAGCTTGATTTGTTTTCTAAGAGATATTCTGAACCTACTTGTTAATAAAATGCCCTTTCTGCTTCTTTCCCATCTATAATAAGAGGATGTCTTACATATCTGAAGAGCGACAAGACACCGGTGCCAGAGGAGGGGCTAAGGGAGGCTGTCCTTGCTTGAGAGCTTGCGGCACAGGGGGCCTCGGTGGCTGCGGGGGGCCCTTGCACGAGGGGGGGTATCGCTGTGCAACGGCGACTCCAGAGCCCTGCAAGGGCCAACCTGCTTCCATGGAAGTCCCCACCCAGTGGGTGGCGCCCAGCACTGCAGAAGCTCAAACAGTACCTGTTGGAGCGCGGCGCAGGTGTGCCGGCTGCCGGACAGAGGTCGCGGAAGGCAATGGTTAAAGCCATCTGTTGGCCACTTCTATCCCTGTTCATCCCACTTGTCCTCCCTCAGACACTTGGGACTAGAGTCAAAGGATCCCGGATGTCTGACTTTCTTTCTGCCCTGGGTTCATAGGGGAAAGCTGATGGATTTGTAGGCCACGCAGCATCGAGAGCTGTGGGAGTACAGTTCATTCCCTAGGATGAGGAAGATCTCAGACTCCAATCCACAGGCACTCCCTGAGCCCCCGCTGCCTCCCAGCTCTTGTAAGAACCCTCCCCGTGTACCATCATCATAATGCTATTGGCATCACGTTTCTCATGGCAAAGAGCCTTGCAGGACTGAGGTTCAAGCTGGGTTGACGCGGCTGGATACCTGGTGCCCCTCCTCCCACCTCAGACCGTCTCCTACCACCGAGTGAGCCCGCAGACAATGCGGCATGGTGACAGACGATGGCCCCGTGCACCGGGGGGTGGGGACAGAGGGGAGGGGCTGTGAGGTCTTTACATTCACAGCCTTAGGTCTTGGGACTGATGAGAACAAATGACTGGGATCACCCAGGTGCTTTCCAGACCCTACAGAAGGAGCGAGAATCTTATTTGACAGTGACACCCCAAAGAGATGGGAAGAGGTCGGGACAGCACTGACTGAAAGGCAGTCCTGTGCGACAGAAGGCCGGCCCTGCGGAGTCCTGCCGCCAGGAACAGGGGTTAGTGTGGGTATCGGGCACCAAGCATGAGAATTTGTCACTGGGAACGAGGATGTGTGGAGACCCTACAAAGCAGCCAAACCTCTCCTACGGTGGGACCCTCTGGCCCAGGGTTATATCCATGTCACCTGGTGGCTCCTCAGCTCCTTTTGTGCAGGGAGGTGAAATGACCCAGAATGAACCCTGAAATCCAAGCAGCTTGGTGTGACCTTCTGAAACCTCTGATGCCAAACCAGCCTGTCCCAGATACACTGGAGCCAGCACATATGCTTTGCGGCACAGGCCACATGTCACCTGCTGACAGGACCTGGCCCGTCAGTGCACCTGACCTGCAGCCTGTGTGGCTTAGCGTTCCTCCTCCCTCAGCCCAGAATCCCCGCCCCTCACTGGCCCACTTCTCTGCTCATGCTTCAGCCTCCTGGCTTCCTGTAGGAAGCTGCCTTGCTGCCCGGCCGAGCTGGGTCCGTGCCTGTATCTCCATGGTGTCTGCGTCACTGCTCTTAACTGTGCGGCGTTTTAAGGGCCTGTTTAGGAGCTACCTCCACCCCGCTAAGAGCGCTCACAGCAGCGCCCGTGGCAGGAGCTCTGTGCATGCTCGATGTATTAACATGTGCCAGTTACAGCAGGGCCACAAATGCAGGACATCACTACCATTTCCCTCACCCGCGGTTTGAAGGAGAAAGAACAGGACCCGAGTATAGGTGGGGAGGAACTGACTGGCCGCAGGGCAGAGGACAGCTCTGCCTGCACCCACTCTTCGTGCTACTGAGATAACCACAGGAAGACAGAAGCCAACCCAGGGATCTGCCCTGCCTTCTTGGATGCCCACGACTCTGCCTGGGCCATGGAGACGCAGGGCACAGACAGCGATGCCCCGGCGCTTAGGAGACTGAAGACGAAAGGGCCATTATCGAGTGTCAGCCGTGCTGTGTCTATTCACTGCTGAAAGAACAGTGGCACCTCCCCGCCTGTGAACGTGGCCTGTTGCTGCTCTAGCGTGTGGGGAGGCTAGCAGAAGCCGCCAAGATTTTACCCAGAAGCTAAAGAAAAGGAAGAGGTGGTTTTGGGGGAAAATTGTTGACTGAAGAATTCCAAAGATCTATATTTATTTTTCTATTAAGATGGTTTACTGAAGTATTTGAATGGCAGGAGTCTAGGCATTTTAATTTGCACAGATGTGGCTTGTTGACACTTTGATTTTCTGTACTCAAGAGCAAACAGAATGTTCAAACACATTTAAGTTGGGCACTTTTAAATAAGGCGAAGCATTGCGTCGGCGGCTTGGGGTGGAGCGTTATCAGGATTCGCCTAATGCGTGTGCACAGAAATGCAAAATTGCCTTTCACCAGAACAAATCTCGGGTTATGTGTGGTCCAAAGAATGCTTCTAAGCCCCCTGCAGTAGGAGTGAGACCTGGAAGACACGGGCCGCGAGACAAAGGGCCCCAGACCACCACTGGAGAGTAGGTTCTGTTCACGGGAACGGGGTGGGAGGGGGCCGGCTTGGGAAGGAGGGGGCAGAGCTGGGCTGCTCTTCATGGCAGAGGGGAGGAGATGGAGTATTCAAAAGGCAGGAGGAGGGGACAGGGACGCGGACCTCAGGGTGGGGGTGTGTGTGTCTGGGATGGGGAATCCCTGACGGGTCTCTGGAGGTCGAAGGAGCTAGCAGGGCTTCCAGGCTCACGGTGGAGCAGCTGGGCACTCTTCCGCCTGCTCTGCCATCCTCCAAGGTCTCTGGGTGTCTCCCTTGCTCACTAAAGCTTGTATGTGGTGGATCTTTGGGGGGCACTTGAAAAAGACACAGCCTCTCCTGCTAGGACACTGCACAGGTTCCCTGCCGGGGCCCTAGACGTCAGGTTCCCACTCATGTCCCACCTGCCCGGCCCCTCCGCTCAGCCCCCACCTTGCCAGGGTCGCATTCTTACCTCCAGCACCGCTGCAGAGGGAGCTGGCAATGGGCGGCTGGGTCCACAAGTCAGCACCGACGGCGGCTGGGTCCACAAGTCAGGACCGAGTGATTAACCAGCACCACGTGTGCCCCCAGCAACAAGCAGAACCATGGGGCAAAACGAAATCACTGGGTTTGGAGAAGGGGTGAGAAAAAGATGCCTAGGAGAGTGGCATACAGCATTGCTGTGAGGAGTGACATGACGCACAGGCATGGGGAGGGAAGGTGGGAACAACAGGGTCAGCATGAGGCTGGCAACACACAGCATTGAAGTCTCAGTTGTGCTTAGCGGCTAGGACACGCCCGAGGTTAGCCAGACAACAGGAGCCCCACTTGGAGGCAGCCTGGGGGCCCTCTTTCCACGCCAGCACGCTCACATGGACCCATGTGAGGGGGCTGTCTCCTGTCTCAGTTTCTTTATCTGCAAAATGAGATTGTCATTGTGCTCCTAAGAATTACAAGGACTGAGTTATTACATGCTGTGAAGTTAGGGGAACACCGATGTGATCAATAGCCTTAATGCAGAGCAAGAGATTGCAGCTGAGTGGAAATAATCCACCCGTGCCTCAGCACTAACTTTAACAACATCGGCGAAAACAAAGGAAATTCTCTAAGTCCGAGGGGGACCACCTGCTGAAGGCCAGCCCTGAGCAGGCCCTCCCCACTCGCCCAGGTGAGCACACTCTGGCGGCTCTGGGCCTGGAAGCTGTGCCAAAGCGCTCCCCCTACCAAAGCCCTCGCTTTCCCAGAGCTGGGCACCATGTTTCCACATGGATTTACACCGCTTCTCTACCCCTGCAGAGAAGACTGGTTCCCTGTCCTGAAAACAGAACTGGTGTCTGAAATGGACATGAAGGTGAACTGAAGGCCAGGGGCCGAGGATGAAGGGAACATCCCGAGGCGTTCCTGCAGCGTTTCCGGAGCTCTCTGCAGGCAGGCACCTGCCACAGATATGTATGCATGGAGGCCTCCCAATGTGAAACAAGGAAAAGAGTAAACATGCCCACAGTGGAACACACAATATTTAATTGAATGAAAAAATAAGTAAGGATCCCAAGAAAACTGTGTTGGTTAAACTGAGCATGGCCAGTTCCGATTTATAGAATCCCCAGGGGATCCCAGAATCCGCTCCTCCCTGCTGGATTTGTAGGTGTTGGACTCTGCTGGCCCTGTGGTCAGAGGCGATACCCTCCCAGGCAGGCCGGGGGACTTCGTGGGACAGGCATGGGAGGCAGAGTGCAGGCATTTCAGACATCTGCTGGAAGCCCTGGGCATTTTAATGGATGTCCTCCTATTTCAAAGGCAAAAGTTCAGTGCCTCTGAACAAAACCATCCAACTGCAGCTGTGTGAAGACGGCACTGGCGGAAGCCGCTCTGTCCCACGGGGGTTCTGCTCTGCAAGGCTCTGTGCACACACTGAGGACACCGTGACCAGAGAAAGCCACACCAAAGTTTTAACATTCGGCCCCAAGGCTGAGTGGCAGGAAGCCAAGCTGGGCCCACCCACCTTACCAGGAGGCCCCCGTTCCTGCTGCTGTGGCCAAGGAGTCCACACTGCGTTCCCTCCCAAGGAGGTGGAAGAGCTGCATGGTCCCACAATCCTGCTGCATGGCTCCAGTCTGGGGATTGGGTGGGGGGCTCTGGGAGCCCTAGAGGGGCCTGTCTGGGCAAGGACCAAGCAGGGAGTAGACAGAGGCGGGTGAAGATGTGAGGCTGCTTTGGGACCACGTCACAACCCGTGAGTCTGACATGAGCAGCCAGGATTGGGGTGTTGGGGTGTTTTCTCCTGTGGCTTTTTCACGTAAATCCACTGCTCTGGGAAGGGGTGTCAAGCTGTCCCTACACCCAGAGTGAGTCCTTGAGAGTGAACACTGAACCTGTCCATTCCACACGATCAGGGCTAGACTGGTCTATTTCCTGACAGAGCATCCTTGCCCGGGGGCCGTGCAGAAATACAGACATGTCAGCACAGAAAGGCAACAGGATTCCCATCAAATAGCTGTTGCAAGATCAGACAGTTGGAGCCACCTGCACTGCTAGAATGATGTGTCAAGGTGCCAAATAGCTTTACACAGTTTTCAGGATTCTTCAAAGGGAGAACACTCTCTATGAGCTCAGAGACATGCATGGGAACTCCAGGTGCCCTCTGACACCTTGATGCTGATGCAGCTCCGTGAGCCTTGGTTTTCCTCTCTGTAGATGAGGGCACGCCTGCTCCCTGGGGGGCAGGAGGGGACAGTGGCTCAGCTCTGCAGCTCTGCAGCTCTGCAGCTCTGCAGTGAGACTCCCTGGGTTGCACTCCTAAAAGTCCCTTCCTCTAGATAAGCCTCAGTTTCCTCAGCTGTAAAACAACGTACACCGTCTCTTTAGCAAACACCGCTCATGCACTGTGTCAAGTCCTAGAAGCAACTTGTTTCTGATTTAAATGGCAACGTGTATAAATATGAACCATGGGCTTGTGTCCGAGACACAGATCTGTGCTTCTCATTTTTTCCCAGGGAAAATCTCTGACCACAGAGACCCTGAACAGGCTCTGCCATGGTCAGGTGTTAACGAGGGTTATTCTGTGGCATGCCACTTTGATTCTAATGTTTTACAAAGGACATGAATTATACAAAAGCATTAAATCAATAATTTGATCCTCAACAGTAAACAGCATAATAATCAAGAGCATAGTTTATATAATATATTCTTGATGGTTAAAACATAACAAAAATAGAAAATAAAAAACTGTAGGTTCTAGAAGATGCAGGCATTGCCAGCTCATCCTGGGAGACCTGTGCTCTGTCATCACGCTGCTTCTCCTTTTATGCCTGGCTCTGCCATCTGAGTGCCCTGGAAATCGTACCCCAGGTTCCAGCCTCCACTACGAATGCTGCCAGGACTGGACCTCAGGAGTTCCCTGGATTCTTTCCTTCTGTTTTCACCAACCTCACGCCAGGTTGGGCCCTCCTCATCTTATGACTCACTCAGGCTGTAACAACCTTCAAAAACTATTTCCTGCTTTCAGTCTCTCTGCACTCCAGTCCAGTGTGAGACCTGCCAGGCTATTCCCAAAATAACTTCTTGTGTGTTACTCCCTGCCCCAGGCACCTGGCACCTTCCTTGCTGTGCTCCCTGCTCCCCTGCTCCTGGCTCTTTCTCCTGCACACAAGCGCGTCTCACCTCCTGGTTCTCAGGGCACTGAGTTCAGCTGGGGCCTTCCTTGCTGCCCTGTTAGAAGCCTCCATCCCTCGGAGCCCAGGGAGCTCTGATCCTCTCCGTGATGTGTTCTTAACTTTACTATACATTTTGACGTGATTTATTTGCACCCCACCGTGAGTACCATGCGTGCCATGACATAATGACATTCTCTAAGGACCCCTATCTAAATATTTCATCTTCACAAGGATTGGAGTCTCCTTTGGTTTGAGGCAAATGCATGTTACAAAACAACAGTGCTAACTCGATTGTAGGCATTTTGTAATTATCTATCCGTCTTCTATACGCTTACACAGGGGAAATGAAATGAGAAACTGAAATGCCAGCAAAAGAAAACAAACACCAGAATGAGAGATCAAGACACACGTGAGGCTGGGAGGAAGCCACACAGGCCACAGGCTCCTGGGCAGCTCTTCAGTGTGTCCGGGGAGCAGTCGCTCATCGGTTGAAATCCTCCCTCTCTGGGTCAGTTATGGGACAGGACATCCCATGTCAGGGGAAGAGAGCGGGAAATGCACAAGCATGTGATTAGTTTAAATGACCCTCAAGAGGAGATGTCCAGAAGTGGAAGACGTGTGACTTCCCCACCTCCCGCAAGTGTCCCCCTGCAAGAATTGTTGTCTTGGGAAGATAAAATAAGGGAAGAATAGAAGAGTAAAAGGGGCAAAGTGAGGCGACAGAGAGAAAAGAAGGAAAGAAGTAGTCAGAAAAAAGTAAAAGAAGCAAACAGAGCTCATCCTCCCACCTCTCTGCTCAAGCTCTCTATCGACAAAAATCACCCCCTACTGAAAACGTGCCCAAGAAGGAGAGGCTGTGGGGAAGTGTTCTGTAAACTCTGAACCCGGGGCCCAGCGTGCGCAGAGATGGGCGATGGAAGCCCAGCCACGGCAAACCCAAGGACGAGACGGAATAACAGTGGACAGAGCACGTGCTCTGCCGGGCAGGAAACGTTCACAAGCCAAAGTTTAAGCATAAATAAGAACAAAATAGAATAAAGTAGAATAAACAAGGACAGAAAAAGTGAGAACATCGAATGCTAAAAAAGAATCCTGCTCTAAGTTGCATGTTAAGTAAAATATTAAGAAGTGAGGATAAAAGGTTACAAACATCATCCGTTATGCCAAAATAATTACCTAACTATCCAGCCTGTCTGGCTTCCAGAGAGGATCAGGAACCATCTTAAAAACAAAACCAAACAACGCAACAGGCTCCAAAGTGCTTTTTAACAAGGTAAACAAGGTACTTACTAACAGCAGCCCATAGAACTTAGAGAAGGCTTGGCGGAGGAGAGAGAGCATGCTGCCTAAGTTGGAAATGAGGACAATTTTGGCCGGGGAGCTGCACCGTCTTTCTCTTCAAGTGTGGAGAATCTCACTCCTCCACGTTCAGGAGAGCAAACCTCCACGGGAGTGTGCAAACATTCAGGCTAACTGTCACTCGGGATCATCCAAAACTCAGAACAGGGCAAGAGGCAGTTGAGTGTGGCAAGGATATGACAATGTCACTTTTAGTAACTGACTCAGTCCAACACCTCGGGGTCAAGTGCTTAATATAGGGCTACTCTTTCCGTTGGGCGGCAAGTTGAGTGAAATTGACCACCTGTTCCCTTGCAAGTCTGCCTGTCTCCAGCCCAAATCAGAAGGCGCCTGGCACGGCCACTCGCAGGAGGTGCTGCGGCGATTGGATTTCCCCTCCCACCGGTGCCTGTGAAATCCAGATGTGTTCTGGGACCCTCTCCTCTCCTGAGAAGACTGCAGATCAAGCTGCTAAACAAGTGGAAGCGATTCTTGTTGTTTTTAATATCCTTAGTTGTGTGTGTTTTCTGGACTCTATTTTTATAAGTTTAATACTCTGCTTTCCTTGCACATCCGCAGGGCCTCTACTAAAGAAATGGAAAAAAGGAGCGTCTGAGCCATGCACTCAGGCTCCTGCGGCTCCATCCAAAGCCCCAGGAGGACTCCCTGCTCCGTCTTTGTGAACTGCTCCAAGTCTGATTATTCAGGATCTCTCACCCAGTCTGTGGCCGGGGAGATCTAAAGTACACTCAAGTTGTTCATTAAATGTCTCCAGCAGTTTCGTGGATGCAGTTTTCAGAAAGGCTGCACCACTAATATCCCCCTACACACCTAATGTAACATGACGTTGTTTGCATCCTGTGAATACACCTGCCCGTCAATTTCAAACTCTAGCCATGTCCACTAAGTTTTTGTTCTGGGCTTTTCCAAACAATGGCTTAATTGGAGTCAGCAATTTGAAGGAGAAAGCCCACGAAAATAAGCAACTTAGGAAAAACCAGTTCCACTCACCGTGCTTAGACACACCCCATAGGCACAGGTCACTCCTGTGGTTTGCCGGTGAAGGCTAAAACCTCACCTCTTCCTTAGACACCTCTGTCCTCTACCTCAGAGAAATTCCTCTCTCCCTTAACTATGATTCTCACCACTCTGTGAAATGACAACATTGATCAAATGTCTCTGTTGTGCATTGTCTGACATGGCAGCTCATTGGGAATTTATGAGTCATTTTTGACAAGAGGGTTAGTGAACCTGTTTATGACTGGGGCTCACTGCCCAAATATCTCCAAAGGTCTGGATGTCCACATGCTTTCTTCCTCCCACACATGGAGGTTGTTTGCCATGTGGATGCCCAGAGACTCAAGATGGAAATTCACTTGGCAGGTCATTTGACCAGCATAGGAACCGACTTGCACTGCTCATCCTTTAGGGGGACTTGCTGGGAACATCCCATATTGCTTGGAAGACTTGGTAGTCTCTTTCTGTTCACCCTTTCTCCACTCATAGTCCTCCAATACAATAAAATCACCACCCCAATGACTCTTGATTCCTTAACTAGTTACATTGTGGAGAGGTTTCTAGTACTGTCCAGGATAAAAAATGTCTGAAACTGCCAAGAACAAAGCCTAGCCCCAGAAGAGTTCGTCTAATACTTTCTGAGGCTCTGACCGTCCAGTAACTGGGTGGGGTCACTGCCCTCTGAAGTCGCAATCACAGAATCCAGGAAGCTGATGTGAACCTCTCCTTACGTGGTGAGAACGCTTTATCTTCCCATAGCTTTAAGTATCACGGGAATTCTGCTAGAGCAATTCTTTCTCTAGCTGAAATCTATTGTTGGTGGGAGCCATGGCACAGAGCATAACGATCTGAGCGACCTGAAGCGTTACTGTGAACTCACTACATCTTTCCATGTTGATAGAGAAAGGGAGTCGTTCATTCACTTAAGAAATATTGATTGAGCATGCTTGCTGTCTCATCATCTAATTGTTTTCCATTTCTCCCAGCTGGGCTTTAGATGCCAGTGTGGTGCATGTGCTATTTGCTTACATAATTCTGCTTGGATTATCCGTTTATTCAATAAGTAGACATTAATCACTTAGGCTGTGGGATCAGCTCTGGAAACACAGTGGAGGAAGAGAGATGCTATCCTGGCCACCAAGGAGCTAACACTCTGGTGTAGAAAATGTCACTAAGCAAATACAGACATCGGCAAACCTATGCATACAGTTGATGCGGCTGCTGTGCAGCGCGTTGCTATGTGAACGGAAGGCAGGAAGACTTGAGCCCAGCCTGGAGAGACAGGAACAGCCTCTCTCAGAAAAGGCCGCTTACACTGAAACTCAAAAGGCGAGTCCAGCTTCTCTAGGCAAAGAGAAGTGAGCAGAACAGCCCACATGAATAATACCCAATGGCGAAACAAACACAGCACAAATGGAACCTCCCCAAGAATCAACCCGGAGCCAGAGACAACCCAGAGCGTGGTGTCATTGAGGGGCCCACAAAGGTCTACATGGCCAGAACTGGCCAGAAAATGGGGTAAGCCCTTGTTAAAAATGTCGGGTTTTATCCTAAGTGCAATGGGGGTCTTGCAGAGTTTTAATGAGAATGTACTTTTCTGATTGTGTCTTTTAGACTGGGGTCCACATCTCCCAGGCCTCGGACTGGTACAGGTCCGTGGCTTGTTAGGAACCAGGCCGCACAGCAGAAGGTGAGTAGTGGGCAGGGGAGAGTGACCTCTCCAGCCTGAGCTCCGTCCGCCTCCTGTCAGATCAGCAGCAGCGTTAGATTCTCACAGGACCTTGAACCCTACGGTGAACTGCACATGTGAGGAATCTAGGTTGCACACTCCCTGTGAGAATCTGATGCCTGATGATCTGAGGTGGAACAGCTTCATCCCCAAACCATTTCCCCTCCCTGCACTCCCCCCTCTTCCATGGAAACATTTTCTTCCATGAAACTGGTCCCTGGCGTCAAAAAGGTTGTGGACAGCCGTTTTAGACTCCACAGCAACTGACTCTGATATGGGGAAGAGCCGGAGCGGAACCAGCAGCAAAGAGGCTCCAGCGGTTCTCCAGGAAACAGCAGGATGTTGCCAGTGCTTGGGCTGTGGGGGGAGGCAGTCCCATGTGAGATCTGGGTGTGGGGGGAAGCAGCCCCACGTGAGATCTGGGTGTGGGGGGAAGCAGCCCCACGTGAGATCTGGGT